ATGTCTTTGAATTGAAGCCAAAAGTAATGGCTCATTCTCTGACACCAGGCTGTGTGAGCAGCTTAGGAAAGAGGAGTAAGGCCTCCTGAGTGTCTATTCTCAAAAGCAAGCACTATGCTGTTTTTTTGGCACAGTAGGCTCCTGTGTAAGTAATGCACACAAGCATGCACACACCACACACCCCCCCAACACACACACACGGCACCTGTGAGCACAGTGGTTGCATAGTTTGCAAAAAGAATACATGATTTGTGCAAAAATACAATGCAGGGTACTTTTCATATGTATTTGTGAAGAAGGCCAGGAGTCTGGAATGAGCTGGCCAGCAAGAAGGTAGGAGTTAAGCTAATTAAATCAGCTCACAGGCATCTCTGCATCTGCAGAAATCATTTGCAATTATATTTTTCAGGCCGATGGGTGGAGGAATAGGGGCTTGAAAAAACTGCAAAAAACATCAAGGAAAGGGCAGTAAAATCCCAAACTCAAACAAGTTGACATCAAGCCAACTCCGACTGAAGTGAACTCTACCTGTTTCCGAGCAAACAGTGCAGCATAAGCTCTTCACAGTCACCGGCGACCCTGGGGAGGAGAACTCATTTTCTCTCAACATCAATACAGCAAATCCAGTGCAAGACTCTGACAGTTATTCTCAGATGACTCTCTGGACCAGAGATGGGTTCTAAGCCTGGGCCAGCATAAGTGATAAACTTATATGGATGCCCTACCAGGAAGACCCTTAATGGAGTAGTGGGGTAGGCATTGGGCTAATAACCGGAAGGTTGGGGGTTTGAACACACCAGCTGCGCCATGAGAGAAACAAGAGGCAGTCGGTTCCTGCTGAACACTCAAGTTTGGCCCAGATGTACAGTCTGGCAATGGCCATATACACAAGGGGATGATCAGACGCTGTAATTACTCATTGTACTTTATAAATTAATTGTATGAATGACTGACTGGAAAACCAGTATTTGTAAACTTTCACTCAAATCCCAGTAAAACTTTTTCTTTCTTAAACGTTATTTACCACTTCAGAAACCCTAGGGGGAAGTTCTAAGCAAAATTTTAGGATCACTTTGAGTCATAACTGATCTGAAAGCAATGAGACTGCACACTGACCATGAAAAGCTCCGAGTTCCTGGAAGGACACGTCAGGAATGCTGGGTAGAGGCAACTGTTCTTGTTAGCTGCCTCCAAGTTGGCTCCAGCCCATGGAAACCATCCATGTAACAGAAAGAAATGCTGCCTGATTCTGTCCCATCTTCACGAGGGTCTGAACATCTGAGGTCACTGTCACAACCATGGCGTCCACAATAAACATCCGGTACGGTTACTAACAAGTCAAGCTGATGGTCACTGAGTGTTTCAACCCAGCTTAGAATTCTAAAGCCTGGCTCGCACCTCACTTCAAAGTAGTGGGATTTTACCTATCAAGCCTGGACGGCTGGGATCTCAAATCTCCTCATTCTGTGAGATTTCTCGCTTCTAGACACACTTCTGAATGCCAGATGGAAAATCTCCTCAGCAAATCAGCAAAACATCCCATAAATCAAATATGTAAAACAAGTTACAGTCCTTTGGTCCCTCTGAAATGTTTTGCTCAAAACAAAGAATTTCCATGGTATAGAGCATTTCTTTTTCTTTAACCACTTACTTTTCAAATGGTCACCTGAAACAAAATGAAGATCTTCCCAACTTAGTGATCTCTATTTAGCTCTAAAGTGTAAAATAACTTAAGAGGTTCTATTTGCATGTTTCTTCCTAAAAGCTTGTTAATGTGCTTCCAGAATCTTCCTGGTCAGCTAACCCAAGTAGTCAAGTGGTATTTCCTTAGACTCTTGGATTCTTTTTTTTTTTTTTTAGTTTTATTATTTTGTGTGTGTGTACTGTCAAATCAGATCTGACTGGTACAGGAGGAGATTGTTCCTCCTTCTCCAGCAAAGCATCTGGTGGATTTGAACCGTGCACCTCTGAGATTGCAGTACACTTTCTTGCCACTAGGCCACCAGAGCTCCGACTCTTGGATTCTTGAGTCAATGACTGTGGTTGTACCCCCCACAGCACAGGGCAAAGGATGATCTAAAAGGAACAGTTCTGACTAAGTAGTGAACTCATCAAAGACCTGAAGTTGGACACTCTTCTAAGAGAAATTACTCCTTTTTAAAGTTATTAGGTACGACTAAGTCAACTGTAACTAACAGCACCCCAATAAGCAACAGATCTGAAGCTTCCCCTTCCTGTCCCGTCCTTTTGTCAGGCGTCTTCCTCTCTGACTCTCCATGATTCCCAAGATGATGTCTTTTTCGTCCTGACAACACACCCAAAGTACAGGAGATGGAGTTTCACCATCCTCACCTCTAAGGAGCACTCTGGTTGCACTTCCCCAAGAAAAATGTGTTTGTCAGTCCATGGGATATTCCATACTCGGCCAACACCACAATTCAAAGACATTGGTTCTTCTTCTGTCATCCTTATTCACTGTCCAACTGTCAAGATGTATAAGAAGTAAGTGAAGATACTCCAACTTGGATCAGGCATACCTTAATCTTTAAAATGACATCATTGCTCTTCAGCACCGAAGATGATGTTGACAGAAGATTTTTCCAACACATCTTATGATTTCTTGACTGCTGTTATCTTAGATGCTCATTGTAGATTCAAGTAAAATGAGATAGTTGATAACCTCAATCTTTTCTCCATCTATCATGATGTCACATACTGGTCCAGTGGTAAAGATTTTTGTTTTCTTGATGTTGAAATGTAATTGAAGCCTTTGATTTTCTGCGGCAAGTGCTTTTAAGTCTCTATCACTTTCTGCAAGCCAGGTTGTATTATCTGCACAATGCAGGAGTTGATCAGTCTTTCTCCAAACCTGTTACTACATTTTTGCTCATATTAGTCAAGTTTTTTGTTTTGTTTTTTTAAAAAAATTTCATTTTAATGAACATTTACAGATTTTGGTTTCCATTCATTCATTCCTGCATTTTTCTCCCTGCCTACCCCTCCCCACCTCCTAGTTTGCTCTTTTCTTTGTAAAGTAAAATTCCTTCATTGGTATACAATCCCCCTACCCCACCAGTACATTCCACCATGTAACCTTTATTCTGAACTCTTGTCATAACCATAATACCTAATCATATATCGCTTTTAAACTGTTCTCTCCCTCATCTGTTTCAATGAAGTATACATAATTTATGCAATTTTTCTCAGTCTCACCCCAACCTTGATCTAAGTCCTGTTCTACAACAGTGGCACTATGCAGTATTTGTCCTTTTGTGACTGAGATATTTCACTCCACATAATGTCCTCCAGGGTCACCCATTTTGTATAATATTTCATGAGTTCCTTGTCTTTCAATGCAGCATAGTATTCCATTGTGTGAAAACACCAGAGCTTCTCTATCCATTCATTTGTTGATGGGCATTTAGGTTGCTTCCTATGAGCTTCTCTATCCATTCATTTGTTGATGGGCATTTAGGTTGCTTCCTATTGTGAACAAAGCCGCAATAAACATGGGTGTGCATGTATCTGCCTTGGTGGCAGTTATGGTTTCTTTAAGGTATATTCCCAGTAGAGGAATTGCTGGGTCAAATGTATTTCTATTTGCAACTTTTTGAGAAGGCACCATACAGCCTTCCATAGTGGTTTCATATACTCCCATCGACAGCAAATAAGGGTTCCAGATTCTCGGCAATCTCGCCAGCATTTGTCCTTTGCTGTTCTATTTTGCTGTTCTTACTGGGGTGAGATGATATCTCATAGTTGTTTTGATTTGCATCTAAGAGCTACGGATTTTGAACATTTCTTCATGTGCTTGTTGGCCACCTGAATGTCTTCTTTGGTGAAGTGTCTGTTCATAGCCTGTGCCCTTTGGGTTATTTACCTTTATTACCTTTATCTTGTTGTGTTGAGCTTCTTGAATGATCTGCTTAGAGTACAGAATGAATAGGTATGGAGAAAGGATACAACTGTGATCAACATCTTTCCTGATTTTAAACCACACAGTGTTCCCTTGCTCTGTCTGGACAGCCATATCTTGGCCTATGTATAGATTTCATAAGAGCACAATTAAATGTTCTGGGATTCCCACTCTTCTCACTGTTAGCCATAATGTATTATGATTTACATGACCCAATGCCTTTGAACAGTCAATAAAGAATAGTTTATTCACTAGTTTATTGACTTTTTTTTTATAGTAGAACCAAGAAAACATGAAGAAGAGTGACGGCTATATGCTATTTCATGACAAGTATTTTTCATTTAGAGTAAAAATTAAAGCCAAATTTCCAAATATTGTCCAGAAGGCAGATGTAGTAAGACAGCAGTTTCCCTCAATAACTGAGGTATTCTTGGGTATTTCAAATAATCAAGAGGGAAGTAAAAATCTTCAAGACAAAATTAATTTTAAATCTGTTTTATTTAAGGCCATATTAACATTCAAGCCTTCAAGAAGGCTATAATCCTTTTAAGAACATCATAGTCCCCAAAGACAAATAATTCTTAACAAAAATAAAATTTAAAATATTAATAATTATTGCTGATTCAGCTCACAATACTATCCCTTTTCAAGCAGCAGCATGGTCACGGGCAAACAGGTGATGAGAACTTGCTGTGGGTCTGAGCCACAGAACAACAAAGCGATGGGCTGTGGGGCCTGCTCTCTGAGGGCGTATGGTGTTGCTGGTGTGACGGGAAACACAGAAAAGATACAAGGGGAGGCTCCAGGTCCACACTCTACTAAGAGCAACTACTGGTGGACAGTGTCACGTTTAACAAGTGATTCACAGAAATTACAATTACAGACTTCATGAAGTCACAGCTTGACATAGCAGGGGAAAAAATTGTTTTAAATTAAGCTTGTGTCCACTCATGTTTTCAAACGAGATTTTAAAAAGGAAAACACAGTTCCATGCCAGCCATACCATAATGCTTTCTCTCCCAAATGAAGGGGTGTAGGGTTCAAATCCTGTAATTTCTTCTCAGTTCCAGAACCTGTGGTCCATTCAGTAGTGCTCACTGCCAAACCGATGCACAAATTCTGACAGTGTGTAGACAGCTCCCCATCCCACTGCAGGATTCATACTGATAAAATCATTCAGGTTCATTTTAGAATCTAGACAAACACAGGAAAGAAATGTCCACAGTAAGCAAATCTTTTGTTTAACAGACACCAATAAATAAATCAAAGCAGAAGACCGACTGGAGGGAAAATCACACACAGGGAGCAGGTATAAGAGTAATTTGGTGGCAGTTTTATCCCAAATGCCTAATTTCAATCTAATCTATACTAAACATCACATGAACCCCAAAAATGACATACACTCTTCAAAGTAACTGTGCTTCCAAAGCAGTATGGTTGTAGGGGGGAAACCTGTCCCAGATTGGAGAAGGCTGGAGAGACATGACAAATAAATGCAATATGGGATCCAAAGTTACACGAGAAAAATAAGAAAACTCGTGGAACTTGAATAAACTCTAAAACTACTGTTGTAGAACTGACCTCTTGGGTTTTCTCGGCTGTTATCGTTCATGGAGCAGTTTGCTAGGTCCTTTCTTCCCCAGTACCAGTGGGTGAGTCTGAACCACTAACCTTTAAGTTAGGAGCTGATCAGAAATCATTCATATGTTAGGAGCTAAAACTAGTAAGAAGTATTGTTGAAGGGAGCTCTGTTGGCTTTAGTGGCAAGAAGCTGCACTGCAATCCCATAGTTACATGGTTCGAATCCACCAGATGCTCTGCTGGAGATGGAGGGGCAATCTCCTCCTCTACCAGTCAGATCCGATTTGACAGTACATACACAAAAAAAATTTAAAAATTAAAAAAAAAGTGCTGTTGAAACACTACCATATTATATAAATGTCTTGGCTTCATGATATACTATGCTTATGTAAGATTTCACATTAGGGTAATCTGAGTGCTGGTTCTGGAGAACTCTGGACTGTGTGAGCACAGTCCCTAATTATTTCAAAATAAGAAGGTAAATGGAAAAATATGCATGACTAAACTGGCAACTGATTGGATTCAACTGTCAATTTACAGGAAATTCAGAGAAAACAGGCACAATCAGCAAAATCCAGACTGAGATAAGCTCTACTGAAATTCATTGAAGAAATCACACAGTTTCTTCAACAAGTAAATCAGAAGGAAAAACAGAGTTGGACAAGAGCTTCACGTATGTAAAAAGACGTAAGATACCAGCACAGCATCTGAGCATTATTTGGACTCTGATTCAATTTTAAAAGCTAGATGGAAAAAAAAGATTAGGATTTTATGAGATAAATGAAGGGCCCCAGAGATCAGAAGTTCAAGTCCACCAGTTACTCCCAGAGAAAAAGCTAGAAGCCTCCTCCCACAAAGACTCACAGCCTCAGAAACCCAGTGAGTCAGGGCTGGCTCGATGGCAGTGGACGGCTTAGGAACTAATTAAACTTGACCACTGACTATGTAGGTATATGATGATTTTCTGGGATTACTGGTTGGGGCTTGTTGATAATTTTTTCAGATGATGGTATTATGGTCATGTTTTATGTTTTAAGAATACGTATATTTTAGAGATCATTCATTCACTCATAGCAGTTGTCAGGACAGACTCATAGCTAACCCTCTCCTGGGTTTCTGAGGCCATAAATCGAGACTGTTTGCCTTTCTCCTGTGGAGCCTCTGGTGGATTTGAACCACCACTGAGACACGGCCTTCAGGTCAGCAGCACAACTCCCTGTGGACCACACCACTGAAGCGCCCGATTTTAGAGATACATATGAGTCTATTAAGATTTAAACTCAGGGCGAGCTCTGGTGGCCTAGTGGCAGGAAACTGCACTGCAATCCCAGAGGTGCACGGTTCAAATCCACCAGATGCTCTGCTGAAGAAGAGGAACAATCACCTCCTGTACCAGTCAGATCCAATTTGACAGTACACACATAAAATAAATAAATAAATACAATTATTTTTTAAAAAAAATATTTAAACTCAGATAATATCCAGGATTTGCTTCAAAGTATGGCAGGATGGAAACCCTAGTTTTGCATGATTTAAATAACTTTTTCTTTAAAGTATATACAGATTTCTGCTTCTGTCCATTGAGAACTGTTACAGGAATGGCACTCCCACCATAAACTACTGGAAACTGGGCTAAATGTCTCATGTGACTTTCCAGATCCTGGCAGCAGGCAGCACGTGGCTGTGGTTCCCAAGGAGAGAGAAACAAGACAGGGAACCGGAGCATTAGGACTAATTCACATTCTCATCAGAGTGGAGACAACCTAGAACATATGAGCAACTGGTGGGGTCCTTACAAGGGACATTCCGTCGTTTGTTGTTCACTGCCACTGAGTCAACTCCAACGTCTCGGGACCCTGCATACAACAGAATGGAGCTCTGCCTGTCCTACACTATCCCCGCACTGTAGGATGGAGCTCTGTCTGTCCTGCACCCTCCCCGCACTGTAGGATGGAGCTCTGTCTGTCCTGCACCCTCCCCACACTGTAGGATGGAGCTCTGTCTGTCCTACACAGTCCCCGCACTGTAGGATGGAGCTCTGTCTGTCCTGCACCCTCCCCGCACTGTAGGATGGAGCTCTCTCTGCCTGCACCCTCCCCACACTGTAGGATGGAGCTCTGTCTGTCCTACACAGTCCCCGCACTGTAGGATGGAGCTCTGTCTGTCCTACACCCTCCCCGCACTGTAGGACGGAGCTCTGTCTGTCCTGCACCCTCCCCGCACTGTAGGATGGAGCTCTCTCTGCCTGCACCATCCCCGCACTGTAGGATGGAGCTCTGTCTGTCCTGCACCATCCCCGCACTGTAGGATGGAGCTCTGTCTGTCCTAACCACCCCCGTGCTGGACATGCACCCAGTTTTGCAGCCTCTGTACTAATTCATCCCACCAACTGGCTTCTTTTTCACTGATC